GATTGGATTACTACCCCGAAACACACAGCGGCAAGGGAGGGCGCCGCTCGGCCAGGCAGAGCTCTACAGTCCGACCAGGCGCTCTCCGCCGGGTCCGCGACCTGCTACTTCCCCGGCCCGCGGCCACACACACCTGTTGCGGGGCACACCAGAGGGCGGGCTGCCCCGCGGCTCAGCTGGCCCGGCCCAGAACAAAGGAACAAAGCCTTGGGGAGCGGGCGGCCCCGCCATCACCGAGGGGAGGCGCGCCCCCTTCCCCAGCTCCCCGGCTTCCTCCCCCGCAGGCCGCCTTGTGCCGGCCTGCAAGGTGACGTCACGCTCCCAGGGGCCTGGCGGTTGCCATGGTGATACCTGGACTCCCGGCTAGTGACGCACTCGTTAGGATCCTGGATCGCGTGGGATGGTCAACCAACCTAAGGGTAGGCGCCTACGCCGGGGAACTGGCCAGATACCCACCTCTTTCCACGCCCACAGTCGGCGTAGCGGTCACTTCCGGTCGGGCACACGCTCCCCTTTCTTTCCTCCTCCTCCCTCCAGCACACGCGCGCGCCACATACCGGGGAGCACGAAGGACTACATTTCCCAGAATGCAACACGCGGCGTCTCTGAATTCCTTTTCCCAGGCTTCCACAAATGTTTCAGTCCCGCTTGATGGGTCGGGAGGTTGCGCCTGTCTACTATTTGTGTCTGATTGCTTGGATTGTGAGCAGAGGTAGTCATATACTCGTCTTTGGAACAAAGACAGATACACACACCTGCAGAGTTTTGGTTCGGAGATCTTGGGGCAAGGGTATCATGCTCCTCAGGCTGGCCTCGAACTTGCTATATAGATGTAGCTGGCCTTGAATTCCTGATCCACTTTTTCCACCTCCCAAGGGTCAGGACCTCCCACACTGAGAATTTCAAAACACAAGCGTACACTTCACCATTCAGCCCTGCTTTTATTACCTGACCTGCATTATTCTTTATATGATTTTTGTCATTTTGAAAATATCTGTCATTACCCATTGAATTGTTTTTATGTCTTCGAAAAACGTCCCACATTTTTTTTTTAAATGCTAAGGAAAACGTAAGGAGGTGGTGGTACAGTATTTTAATGCTCTCTGTCTTCTCTCAGAGATCAGGCCTCAATTTCTGTTTCCCAAGACTGAACAAGCAGTTTCTGAAAGAGCCACAAAAGACAATCAATCTCTTACACCCCCAACAACAAGGACAAGGAGGCCTGATACTACACGTGCCAGGCCAGGCCAGGCCTGTACCACAGTCAGCAAATAACCAAATAAGGACAAACCCTAGGATTAGTTCAGACTTGCCCCCAAATGGAAAACTGTAGCCCTGACCAGCCCTAACTAGCCCTGGCCAATCAGAACATACTAATATGATTGCCACTTGCTTAAGCCAATCATATCTAAAATGACCCAACTGCCCTAGGAACTCCCCTTAACTGTGCTTAAAAGGAGGTTATGCGCTTCTCTGGAGGTCGTTGCCATTTCGCCTTTTTGTAGGATGGTCCGCCCCAGTGTGCTGTAATAAAGAACGTTCTTGCTGATTGCACATGTGGTTGGTGGTCTTTTGTAGAACTTCTCCAGAACCCTAACACTGGACATGCTTACTAGAAACTTCTGAACCATCTCTCCAGCCCCCAAAAGGCATATTTTAAAATGTGGCAACTATTGGAGGCATATTTGAGAAAATTAAAACTGCTGGTGAGGAACAGTGGAAGATACTCTTTAGAAGTGTCTCTATGATTTCAAAGAAAAATGAAATTGAATAAAAGAAAGGAATAGACACGAAGGACAAAAAACAGAAAGTCAACGTGTTCATAATAGTCAGGAATCAGGGATCAGATTAAAACCAGCTGTCAACACTTCCTGTGTGCCAAGCAAGGTCCCAAGTGCCTTGCATCTGGTAAGTTAATTCTTGAAGCAATTAAGTGGATATACTTTTCTCTAATTGTTCCTACTTCACATCAATGGAAATTAAGTAACAAATAGATTAACTTGCTTGAGGTCACATGGACAACAAAAAGGACTGCTGGATCATGAATAGTTGGTGGGCAAGTGAAGAAATTAGAAGGAGTTTGCCTAAGTCCTTTTCAGGAATAAATGTTTTTATTCCTGAGGCTTTAAATATGGGAGACAACTTGGGTAACATGAAATTCGTAGGTCAGGAATTTTCACTAAAAACTTTATGTTTCCATTGTTTTTCTAGTGTAATGTAAGAAAGATATAAAACCCCTGGCTGCTCATAGTCTCTAAGTTTTTGGTTGTTGGACTTTTCCTCTCTTGTCACCTTAAACTTTTCTCAACAGCAACAATCTAGTTGTCTACGAAGTGTTTTAATATGAAGGTCACGTTTTGTTCTGCCCGCACTACGGTGGAACCTAGTACGTCGAGCATGCCAGGGAGGCGCTCTACCGAGGAGCCACCCACATAGCCCGTGTTCTTAAACTCAGGATACACTTCCTCTCCACAAGGGAGACTACAGTCACGGGTGAAGAGTGCTTCAGACCAGACTTCTAACTTTAGCTTCCTTGTTTGCTGGCTAGGAACACCACACAGATTTTAGTCCTGGAAATGGGGTTCTGCTGAAATAAAAACCTGGAAATATAAAAGTGACTTTGGAATTTGATGATGAGTAGGAGGTAGAAGGATTCTTGAGTTGTATAATTTAAACTAAATTGTTTTGAAAAGGTGGATGCTGTGTCCACTAAGGTCTTGTGCTGGCTTTGATGGAAGTGGGGAGCATGACAGAGAGCTACAGCGTCTAAGAGATTACATATAATGTCACCAATAGAACGAGAGTCAAAGGCGAAGACTAGAATGAAAAATTCACAGGCTGGGGGGTGGCATTTGAAAACACTTGCCTATTAAAGTATTTGTTGTTATATATCAGGGGAGGGTTCACGCGGGTCCGTGAAATCAAGACACAGAGGCAGGCATCTTACAGATGAAATTAGCCTTTCCAGCGGCAGGGGGACCAGTCTCTCCAGACTGACCCACTGGAGCTTAGCAAAGGGCCCTTTTATTGTTAAACAATTCACATCCTTAGCAAGTCAATTCCGCACACCAAAACCTCTTATCTAAGTTAGCCCACAAAGGGACAATGCCAAGTGCACATTCTCAGTTAAGGAATACTACAGTTGTCTGGCTTATCTCTCAACCAAGTTTGCATAGGCTTTGAACCCCTAGGAAATTCTCAGATGGGACTTAAGACAGAAGCAATCACAAACCAAAGCTAGATGCTAACACTCCAGAATCAAAGCAGCTGCAGCTCTGCAGGAATTCTCCCAATAATCTGCACCAGAGGGACAGTGGTAGTTTTTGTGTAGTCCGGGTTTTGAACTCTAGCACCAAAATAAAAATAGGTTTATTCTTAACAATGCTCAATAACAAACCCCCAAAACTTTAAACACCTCAGCAAAGATATTTACAGAAGACAGAGATCTGAAAAGAACTCTACATCTTAGTTTCAGGGAAATGTGTATTAAAACAAGGGTATACCATGATCCTCTTTACCAGAATGCTCAAGAACTAGGACACTGACAAGAAAGTGGGACAAGAGGACCTCCCTCTCCTTCCCTGACAGCAGGAATGCAAACCGATACATCCATCTTGGAGGACAGTTTGGCAATTTCTTATAAAACTATTCATACTATTAACTTCTATCCAATAATTCTGCTCCTTAGTATTCCCTCAAAGGAACAGAAAACTGACATCAAAAGAACACCTGTATGTATGTTTGTAGTAAAAGGACAAGAATGAACAAATTGTTGGTTAGTGGAATATTATTCAGCAATTAACAGAAATAAGTTACCAAGCTACCGGGGGGGGCCGGCAGAGGGCATCAGATGGATGTTACTGAGTAAAATGAGTCACTCTGAAAAAGGCTGCATACAGTATGATTCCATCTATACAACATTAAAAATAAAAAAGCAAAGAGCAAGTAAAAATCACTGACTGCCAGGGATTTGGGGAGAAGGTTGAGCAAGGGGAGGGGGTTGAAACATATAATAGTTTTTGACAAATACTAGTCCCAAAGAATGTACAGCATTGAGCAAGCCCTAATGTAAACTGCAGTGTTAATAGTAATTTACCGTTACTGGCTTATCAATGATAACAAATGTGCCACAGGAAAGCAAGATGTTAACAATAAGGAAATTGAAGGAAGATCAGAAATGGAGTATACTGGAACTGTATTTTCCACTGATTTTTTTTTTCTATAAATCTAAAACTGTGCTCCTCTCCCCAAGTCTGTTCATATAGAAATATATGAATGTTAAAGGTGCTTCCTGTAAGGTCAGAAACGGAGGACAGGTGATTAGAAGCTGAGGGGATGGTGATCCTTTTGATTAAGTCACAGGCATTTGGTTGGCCGTGTTATACTGTTGGGTGGAAAATAGAATTTAAATATTTAGCCTAGAATTCCAAGTGAGACAGTTGGGAGACCCAACTCTCCCCCAGGGCACTATTTGGCCTTTTTTTTTTTTTTTTTTTTTTT